TCGCAATAGCAATTTAAGTACAAAAACCGGACGAATCCCTTTAAATATATCATCTGATCGATGTCTTGAGGTGTGGTAACCGTAGTATAAGCGAAATAATTGACGACGGGCCGTTGAATTATTAGAAAAATAATGCACGCCCGAGGTGTAACGCAAAGCGGAGTGGCCGCATCACCACTTCGGGTGTGCATTATTTTTCTAATAATTCAACGGCCCGTCGTCAATTATTCCTTACCTATATTACGTATAATTACATACCACTATAGCGCGTCTAATTTCCCATTTTTAAACAGGAGATTTAATAATCAAATAATAAACAGGATATTATCAAATATGCTTGGAATAATAAGAATAAATTCATATGACATTTTATTTACAGCAGACAATCATGTGACTGGCCCGGGTTCATAGGATCACAGAACTCACTTCTTCACTGTGAATAAATAGCCATCCGAATCCATGAGTTTTATCACTGAGGTGCCATGTAAATGTATGTTTTACAGACATCCACATGAGAAAGAATCACCGTCCGAATAGAGTTATAGTTGTGGTTTCCTTTTTTGTTGTTTTTAAACCAAGTACGACCTTAATCTTAGTAGTTGCATGCATGAACTTTACAAAGTGTTGCATTTTGTAATGCTCAATGCCAAAGTGTTAAAGGTATTAACTTCTCAAAAGGACAAAAACAAGCTACAACATCATTCACAAAGTCTCGGCTAACCTACTGTATTCATAACAAACTTCTAAAGGGGCCTCAAGACGACTCCATGATTTAAGACCAAACCAACATTAAAATATCTATATATTACTATTACTTAAGGGTGAGTAAATAAAGTCAGAATGTTCATTTTTGGGTGAACTATCCCTTGATAGTTGGTTAAGTTTAATGCGTGCCTGGTTTTGCAGTGCGGTACTGTCCTCGTACTTCCTGACAGAGAGGCTGAACCTGCATGGGAAGCTTGGCTGTCTGCTCAGTATCCTGGGCTCCACTACCATGGTGATACATGCACCTCAAGAGGAGGAGATCGACAGCCTGGAAGACATGGCCAAAAAACTGGTTGATCCAGGTAAACCACGACATGTAAAGACAATGAAGGCCCTCCTGGAATGTGAATAACTTGTTTTTGCTCAGCAGTGTTGCGGAGTAATTCGACTATTGTAATATCAATATGCATTATTGTGGTCTTGATAAGACTACACAGGTTGCAGGTACACAACCATTCATAAGTGTGAGGTCAGTAAGAATTTTTGGTTACACTTGATTTTAAGTTGTCCTTGTTATACATTTAAGAACTGAGTAATATAAATTAACAACATTCACCTACTATAGTGTTAGGATTAGGGTTAGCTGCATGCAGTTGTGCATAATTTGTTGTTATTACTACAGTAAATGCATGTAATGTGTAACAAGAACACGAAAATATTTTCTTCCAATTTTTTCTTCTTTTTTTTTAACCATTTAAAAAGAAAGAAGTCTCATGCTCGCATATTTATATGAACAGAAATACATTAAACACATTTTTAAATATTATTACAATTTAAAGTACATTTTAAATGTACATTTATTTGATATAAATACATTTATTCTATATTTATTTTCAATGTAAATACATTGTATTTTATATATTTTAAATGTAATTTATTCCTGTGATGGCGAAGCTGAATTTTAAGCAGTAATTACTCCAGTCTTCAGTGTCACATGATCCTTCAGAAATCATTCTAATAAGCTGATTTAGTTCTCAAGGCACTTTTATTATTATTATCAATGTTGAAAACAGTTGTGCTACTTAATGTTTTTGTGAAAATGGACATCAGTTTTTTCAGGATTCTTTGATGCATAAAAAGAACAGTATTTAATTGAAAGTTTCTTTTTTTTGTAACAATGTAAGTCACTTTTGATCAATTGAATGCATCCTTGCAGAATGTATGTATTAATTAATTTTTTTACTGACCACACATTTTGAACAGTTGTGTACATATTTATATTGATACTAAAAAATGTTTAAGGACTTTTTTTAAAGGAATAAAACCGACTCCTTCGTATAACTAATCATATTTGTTATCTTTTCTCCCATCTGTCTCCAGGCTTCGTGGTCTTCGCGACAGCTGTCATCATCATAGCTCTCATCTTCATCTTCGTAGTGGGCCCACGCCACGGGCAGACCAGCATCCTGGTCTACATCACCATCTGCTCTGTGATCGGTGCTCTGTCTGTCTCCTGCGTGAAGGGATTGGGCATCACCATTAAGGAGGCCATCTCTGGGAAGCCAGTGTTGCGAAACCCTTTGGCCTGGCTGCTGCTGCTGAGCCTGATAGCTTGTGTTAGCACACAGATCAACTACCTGAACAAAGCACTGGACATCTTTAACACATCCCTGGTGACGCCCATCTACTACGTGTTCTTCACCACCTCAGTGCTCTCCTGCTCTGCCATATTGTTTAAAGAATGGGAACACATGGGCACCGATGACATCATTGGCACACTGAGCGGCTTCGTTACGATTATCGTGGGCATCTTCCTGCTGCACGCCTTTAAGGACGTTAGCATTAGCTTGGCAACACTGGCTGTGTCCATCAGGAAGGACGAGAAGAATGGCCCTGTATTAAACGGCATGACAGCTAACAACCACTCCAGTTACGAGCTGCTACATACAGAGGACTTTGACGACAGAGAGTCAGGGTTGCCTTTCGACAGCGTCTCCAGAAGAAACGGCACTATGACAGTCTCTTAGGTTCAGTGAGGAACCAGTATGCAGCAGTTCGTCTATGAAATTGTTTTGGCTGCTCTATGGACATTTAGCATTTTTCTTCCCTTTACATATAGGAGATAAAACCTAAGACAATCGACTCTCAACGCAAAAAAAAATACAAAATACAAAAAAGATGGACCAATCGATTGTACTAAGGGTTTCGTTTAGCTCATTTTTGTTTTGTTTTGTTTGTTTCAAACTAGACTACATGGTAAGCTTAATATCATTCCTCATGTAGCACTGTAAATACACAACTGTACATTTTAAGAGACTTTTGTTATATTTTATGTACACATCTGTATTTACATGCACTGATGTAACACTCTAAAGAGAAAGGAAAAAATGAAATCGCATCATATGACCCCTTTAAAGACATCCAAGTGAAATGATGAGAAGACCTTCTCAGTTCAGCAGCAGTGTTGTGATTATTAATACAAATCCAAATATTCAAGCATTTCATATATTAACTAAAATATGGATCTACATTTAACAAACAAATTAAAATGTACTCCTGAAAATTTGAGCTCCTGAACAAATATACTTTTACACTATTGCAATCATGGATCGCGGAAGCGGTTACTGTTGAGGTCCGGTACAAACATGACATACAAAAATATAGGCTATAGCCTCATATGTATGCATATGTATTAATCATTAAAAGACCGCGATCTTATTCCCAAATGACAATGATTCCGCTATGACTGTTAAACCTTTGAAATTACAATCACATCAGAACATTTAAACATGCTTTCGCGCAGCCGCTGATCTCTAGAGAGAGCAGCGCTCATCATGTAAGCTTTATGTTTGAAACAGCTGTACAAACAGTCTACACAGTAGGCTACATTTCTGTGTTGCAAACATTAAATAATAACGAAATTAGGCCAAAAGCATATATAGTCCGGATAGATTCTGACGTTGCGGCAGCCGCGATCAAAGAGCGTGTTCACGACACTGACACAGTCTGACTAGCACTTTTAATTAGCGTCATTTTGTAATAATGCACTTATGTTGTCTGTGTATCTGATTAATCTAATATGGATAGGATACGTTTGGCTGAGTTAATTAACCCGCCAGCAAAGCGCTTTAATTGACCGCTGTTCATTCATTTTTCAGCTTCATCACCTGAAACTAGATTTTAATTATTTAAATACGTTGTTAATATCTTGCGGTGTTCATTTTTCTCGTCATTGTTAAGTATGTTTTAATTAAAATCGTTTAATTATCGTCAGGATGCACCACTGATCTATATAATGTGGGCTGCACTCGTCTCTCATCAATAAAATAAACGTAACTTCAATAAGATTGTTGAAAAGATTAACACTGCACAGTATCCTCCAAACATCTTCAACCCTGCTCCTGGAGACCCACTGTTCGGCAAAATATATTTCCAACCTGCTTCAGCATCTTCAAAGATGATTTTCAAGCAGTCCTGAAGATCTTGATTGGCTGGTTCAGGTGGATTTGATTAAAGATGGAGTTAAACTCTTAAGGAGACCCGCTGAAGACTTTTGGAGCCATTTTTATTTTGTGTGAACTAGTCCTTTAACCCGTTTGATCTGGTGGATAAAAGAACCCAGGAAACCAGGGTTTGATACATATTTATTGAATTAAAATCTGATTACATAATTCAAATACAAAAAGGCACGTTAATTGGGAGTAAGAACTTGGTTATGCTTAAAGTTTTATTCAGGATAACAGAAGGAAAAAGATCTTGCATATAATCATTCCAAAACACCACACAGAAATATACCGCTGGTCTCTCACCACAGCAAAAGCTTAAATAATCAGTTGATAAAACCCACTTGGCCATTTTCCGAACCTTTCCCACTGCTTTCCCCAAGTATAAAACATGAAAACGAGTAGTGCTGTGCTATCATTAACACATAAAAGATAATAGTAATTTATCTATAATAAGGCACGAGTGTGTGTACAAAATAAAATCAACCTGACATACACGAAGTAAAACTGGGCCGTGTTTGTCTACATCATTTAAAAACATATTTTGGCCTAATTTACCAAAGCCTGAGACAAAACCAATAATGGTACAACTGATCGGTGCTTACCAAACACTCGACTAATCACAAGGCAACTTACTGGCTCTGTGAACACTACAGGCTGGTGTAAGAAAGGCGTCTCTAAGTAGAATGTGACAGTGAAACTGGTCCTAAACATGAGGCTAAACTTGTTGCTAAATATGTTCCCCTCTACCATCTCTTCCACTTCTAATTGGAGCAAATGTACGTCAATCTCAGTTACTGGCCAAGGACTGATGGATCGGAGGCTGGAAGCAACGGACATGTTCTACTGGCATGTTCTCTCCATCCCCAGACTTCAGGTACTTGTTCAAAATGGCGAAGATTTCATCATTCAGAACCTGGAACTTGCGAATTCGGTCAACCATTTTCTTTAGAGGCTAAAGTGTGAGGGGAAAAAAAGATTGTTTAGTTGATGTCTTGACTGCAGAAGTTAAATAAAATATACATCAAACTCATTAAGGAAAAACTCACCACGCTCTTGATGATCTCATCTTTGCCGTCATGTTTCTGCACCTTAAGGAGATGGTAGCTGAAGTCCAGGATATCAAAGCGTCTGTGCTGTCCAAGCAATGTGATAATCATGCAACCAGCCCAGTTCAGACCATCTCCAAAACATTGCCTAGAAGAAGATCAATATGCTTTAAAAAGCACAAATATCCTAATCTTACTGTAAACAGCCATTCTACATGACAAGAAAAACAGGTGATCAGTTTGCACTCACTCAACAGTGAACTCGTGTGCTCCCACCGGGATGCAGTACACAAACTGCATTGCACTCCACAACCTGTGGAACTCCATGCATTCGTCCACGTGCATCACGCCGTTGCTGGGCAACGGGCCGCGCCAGATTGGGTCGTCCAGATTACCGCGGATGCGAGTCAAAATGACCTCGAATATGGAGAGGCCGCAGCACAGGCGCTCTTTAGTCAGCAGGTCACCCTCACGGGCGATGGCAATTTGCTGATGAGAGATTGTACAGGGTATTGATTAAAATCGGACCAGTACGGCTCACTCAAGTCTGCATTCAACAGTGATTACGGTATTTATTTTGTCAAAGCAGATGATTTGTCCTTCAAAGCATATTTACCATTATTTATACAATTTGAACAGTAGGTCAGCACACTTAAGTGCTATTGTGACAATTCTGACAATGAATCATAACGATGGCATAAAAAGTCCACGCTGAGATGCCATAATTTTGACTTTTTTGTCTCACAATTGACTCAATTATGAAGTATCTCAATGTCGACATTCTATGTCAATTATGGCATGCCTAATTCTGACATAATTATGACATGAAAAGTGGGAATTGTGAGTCATGATTGACTTTTTATCTCATAATTTCAGATCTTTATCTCAAAAAGCATGATTTACCAAAGCATGATCATTTCAACTTGTCATAGTTAAGATTTTATCTCATAATTTCAACTTTTTCTCTCAAAGAGCATGATTTACCAAAGCACGAGTGTGGATACTGATTCCCTTTGTAGAAATGGCAATTAATGTAACAAAAAGTAACAGAAAATAGCAGAGTTACCAGGATGAATTAATACACATATCTTAAAGTAAATTTTAGAAATCACCATTTTGATTTGAAAATAATCAAATTGCCCATTACCACCGACACAACTCATAAACTAAACATGAATGTGGAAGTCTCGGGGATGAGATCAAACCAGCAGTTAGGTGTGTAATCGGAGATGCTAATGACAATATCAACAAGTAGTTGTGTGTACTGGAGGCAGTAAAGCAGCAGAGCACGACTAAAGCGGCTGTCAGTATTTCACCCACCTGAGGGGTTCCCAGACGCTCAATTAGAGGCACCAAATGCAGTGCAGTGTATTTGGCCTCCAAACGCTTCATCTTTGCATCCAGACGCTCACCTTCTGCTCAAGTGTGTGTTGTAAAAGGATTACTGGATATGTATGAGGAACTGCTCAAATAAAGCATGCTAAAAATACTGCATATCCTCTGCAAACATACATAAACATGAGCTTACCTTTAACGTGAACTCTTGGCAAGATGTTCTGGAATGGTGCTGCATGCAACAAGTCACACACCTCCTCTTGAGACTGCAGGAAAGGACAAGAACTCATTTCACAAACTGAAACAATCTTATGTGGGCAAAAAAAGAGAAGTATAGAATGATGGGTTCAAATCGTGAGTTAAATCTGAGACAAGCAGACATTGCTGCTTTTGCCATGTTAGCTTTTGTCATATTAATGTATAGAACATGGCTTTTTATGTTCTATAGATTGTTTTTCTGACAGATGTCTCTAAAAACAAAGAAAAGATACTTTAAAGGAATCTTAGGTGAGCCTGCGGAAGGAATAACCATTAGTAAACAAATGATACAGCAAGAGAGATTAATATTAGGTTTAAATAATATTATACATTGAGATAAATATTACATATGTATTTTAATATTAATATTATATATATTTAGATAAATATAATATATTTATTTTATTTATCTGTTTAGCTGAATATCTTCTTGTCAAACTACCTCTTGCAGAAACCGGCATGATTTATTCATACTGTGGCACATACTGGAGAAAAAAAAAAAAAAGAGGATTTCTTTTGTAGCACAGGAGGGTGATGTGGCATAGCGGGTGACAACAAAAAAAACAGAAATGGCACTTCATGTCAAAATGGTATTTTAAAACATGTTCGATGAAGCTTTTGATGAATCCTTGGCACAGATTTCTATGGTAACCAGGTACTGTTCCAGCAGATAGAGCCATGCAGTCACATCCACCACTGACATGAGCTATTACAGATGAGGCTGTTGACATTTAAATTAAAATGCAGAGAATTACAGCCGACAGCCTTGATTGCATTGACCTTGCCATCAGGCAGAGCAGGTACTTTCACACAGGCAAAGAGGTTTTCTCTAGCAAGAGGTTTTGGCTCTATTTTACCAGACAACCCTTGTTGATGTTTAATGTGGAGGATGGTGAAGACAGCATCTCCCTGGGTAACTTTCATAATTGTGACTAATGGTTGGCAATTAAAAATCACATCTGTAAAGAGTCTCTTGAGTGTCTGGATGAATGTCATATTCTCAACCATGCTGCAGT